TCTACTAATATATTTTTACGAAGCTAGACGGACTTTCTACCATCTATTGTTATTATAACTTACAAAAGAAGCAATCGAAATTAAAAGTGAGCCCGGCGCTCACCCGTTGATCAATGATCGGTTTATACTAACTAATTCTCAGCTTGCGATTTGGACAGACCGAGGGTTTCATTCGAGCAATTTAGAACTAAATTATTTAAAATAATAACTAAAATAATATTGAAACACTGGATGTGCATTGTGATTGTAGAGCGTCATCGAACATCAGAGACAACAGATCCCCTGATCACGATTAGCACAAATATCTCCAATTCATACACTGGCACAAACTCATAGCAAGTAATTTAGAATCAAGTACTGGCCCCCAGAGAAGGGTTTCTGGTTGGGGAGGTAATCTTTCATTCTTATGGATATAAAACCGAACCCATCATAGAAATAATCAGTTCAAAATATAATGCGACCTTCGAATAAAAACTGATAAAATAATGCTGGCAACCAGGCATTCCACTGCATAGGAAAGAAAAGTATTCATATTTGATTTTACATACCCTGCAAGATCACAAAACCAATAAACCAAAACTTAAATATTCAAACTTCATTTCTCTCTTAATGGAATATAAAGAAATATCAAACTTGGGGCCGCAGAGAATATACAAATTGTCATAAAAGAAAATTGTTTTGTTAAGAAAAAATCTGAAGTATTATTTCAAAAGTGTTAGTTTCTCACAACATTTATTTCAAAAGTTTAAAGATTAGTAAATCTTGCAAGCTGTCATATTGCTCGCTCGGTTCCAAATGTGTAAAGCTAGGAATGTTGTATGTTTAAAGGCGCCTTAAACCGTAATATCAGATCAGAAAAATTAAATTAGAATAATAGTTTTTATTTCATTACATTTGACTTATTGCCAAGGAGAACATATGTGCACTATTCACAATATAGCACAACAAATTATATTACATTACAATAAACCCCTGATAATTTATCTCTAAATGAATATAAATGCTAGAAATGCAAGAAAAAATACAAAATTAGTTTATAATCAAGCAAATGTGTAATATCTATTATTTTGTATGTTACTAAACATAAGAAATACACACATTTAAATATTATGTATTGTGAATATTTATTTCTTGCATTGTAGTTCAACAAAACAATATTGAAAAAAGAAAGCATTACTAATAAACATTGTTCTTCTGCACAGTTCTATAATCATAACCTCACTCTTACTTAAATTACAATTATGTGCTTTGTTCATATGTAAAGCTTTTCTCTGATAACTTTTAAATAATCTATAGAGTTTAGCAATTTTTTTACTGTGATGTTAAGCAATATTACATATGTTAATTTTTGTATTTCTGTGATAAAATAGTATATTGATGAAATATACCTACTTTAGCAGACCTAATTTATCATTTAAGTTCAGGTTGCTTTCTTCTTCTGTTTTTGAAATCTTGCTGCACATATAGATTAAATTTTAAAAAAACGTTAATTCTAAATTGTAAATTATAAAATATTATTGTAAAGTTGATAAAGAAATTCAAAATTAGTTGCAATTTATCTTGAAATATTAAAGCATCTGCAATTTATTTAAAATAGCAACAAAATATTCTTTACAAGAAACATTAATAATAAAAATAAGTCTTTAATACCCATACTCTGGTAAGTATACATTTGCATGAATCTTATAATCATATGCCAAGTGTGTTTTGTAAGGAATTTACTATTTAACGGTGACTAGAAGGCAAATTAGGGGAGCAAACAGTAAACAATTCAAATGATTTGTAATATTAAATGTTAAAATGCAAGCCCAAAGATTCTTAGTGACGAAATTATTACTTTTCCTGTTGCCACATGTAATCGCCTTTTTGATTTTTTTCTTCTTCGAAATAAAATTGTAACCCCATATTGGAAATATTTATATTCAGTATTTGAAACACGTGTCATATTTTTCCATCTGTGTTATGTCGACTGTCTTATTATGCCAATGTATTCTTGGAGTTCGCTCGCCTTGTCAGGCTCATTTGATACTAACCTGGAAGGCGAATTGGTTGGAACATAGTTATCAGCATTTGGACTGCTCGGCAGTTCATACTCCCTATCCTCGTTCATGGTCTGCCACGAACGCAGCTCCCCTCGCCCTGCGTCGCGCTGACCCATCATTGCCTCGCAACTCTTACAGCTCTCAGTACGAAATGGCCGCCACTGCTACGCGGACTTATTTATTAAACCTTCAATTGTTCACCTCCTACACTACATCGCACCTGAACTCTGCAGCTTAGACCGTGAACTATTTAGGTCAAAAGCATACTTGTTCTGCTAGGAAGAAGCAATATCAATCTTGATATAATAAAATAAACGAAAACAACTGATTGGGTTAAACCATGGTCGATAAATTAATTATTAGCCGAATATTAATGTATGAATAAGTCGTGGTTAAATTTATTGAATCCTCTAAGAATGGACGGACCAATATCATACATGAAATTAATGAACGATTGAAATAATGTATTCAAGAGTACGATAGGGCAATCGGCGTTAGTTATACAAATTCACTTCGAACAAGTGGGTCATGAACAAAACATTGTAATTATGCCAGACATTTCTATTCACTTTCAACAATAAAATAATCGAAAAGTTTCATTTAAAATTCA